TAATTCTCAAAAACAGCAATACGAGGTATTATTTCTTCTCACAGTTTATAAGTGAGGACTCACACTTGTTTTTAGAGGAAAAGATTTTCCAGAGGTCGCACAACAAGGAAGGATGAAGCTGGGGTGGAGAACTAAATCTGATTCTGACCTCAGAGATCTAACACATTGCTATTCTTCCCATTAACACTCAAAAGTGAATTAGTTTGGGAAATAAATATATGCCATTGTTTTAGGTTTTTGAAAATGGGATGCCATAAAGTCAAACAAAATATGACAGATCTTGGTAATTCCAACTAATGGAAATCCCTGTTGTATGCATGTCTAATTTATTGGCAAATTGATTACCTTTTCATTTCATGGTGATTATTCCAGTTTGTTTTCAGGAATTTCCCCCCAAACATTTTAGTTATTACAGTAGAATAGACTAGCACTTGCAAAGTGTAGGAAGCAATACAGCATTTTTTGTTTTTGTTTTTGCTTGTTTCTTCTTGGTTCTTTGAGACAGAGTTTAACTATATAGACCAGACTGGCCTTGAATTTGTGATCCTCCTGTCTCAGCCTCTGATTGCTGGAATTATAGGTATATACCACCATGCCTGGCCAGCATTGGGTTTAATGTTTATTAGCAATGTGACTGATGCTAGTGCCTTGGTTTACCTCATATGTAAAGTATGGTATACTAGTAAAACTTTCATAAGGTAGAGATACAGAAAATATTTTCTCTATCAAGATATAATGAATCTTAGGTATTTAGAACACTGCCTATCATTTATTTAATATTCAATAAACGTAGCTTTGCATTTGTGATTACATTTGATTTCCAAATAATTCTGAGATAGGTAATATTAATGTCTATTTTCATCTAGAAAATCTTACTAAAATTTTCACTGGTATATTTTGCTTTCCAGGATCCTGGGTTATAGACCATGAAAAATAAGAAGGTTAGGGGTCAGGGATGTAACTCCATAGCAGAGTGCTTGCTTAGCATGCGTAAGGCTCTGGTTCAATCCCAGCACCTCGAAAAATGTAAGATGGTTCAACTTTTGTTAAGAGGCGCTAGAGACTAAGAGAGAAATGAAATGCCATATTATTTGTCAAATGAGTCCTTTGTCAGAGATCTCTGTTTGTCCCCTATGTCTTTCAACTTATTCTATAGTAATGGATTCCCTGGGTTTTGGCTTGGTAAATGGCTACCCAGAATACATAGTCATACTTCCTATCTTCCTTGCAACTCAGTAAGCTATGTGATGTAAGTTCTAGTTTATGGAGTATAAGTGGGGGTGTCATTCAGAAACTTTCTTGCGAGATTGCTAGAGTGTATAAACTCTTTGACTCTCTTCTTCCTTTCTTCCTTTTTACTGCCTAGAATGAAAATGCCCACCCTCTTGGAACTTGAAAATGAAGATACCCCCTAGAGTTGGTAGCACAATGAGTTGGAAGGTACTTGTGACCCTATAAACAAAATGAAGTAGAGCTGCCAAACCAAGCCTGGTATTCACATGAGTGTAGTAGCCAGCTTTCAAGAGTACCTGAAATAATCCTGGTGTCCGGTATATACACTCTTGTGTAGTCTTCTCCCACACTGTACTGGGAAGTCATGTGTCTGACCAGTAGCATAGAAGTGATGATGCGTGTCTTCTAAGATTACATTATAAAAGACTGGTTGATCTTCGGTGTTCAAACTCATTTTCACTTGTTCTTTTTCTCGGCACTCACCTTGGGGAAATCAAACTGTCACATTCCTAGAAAACCGTTGAAGAGTCCTGCGTGGTGAGGACCTGGGAACCTTAATATTATAGCTTGTGAGGATCTGCCACCTCCCCACAGCCACTTGAGCAGATTTGTCAGTCCCAGTTCAGTCTTGAGATGACTGCAGTGCTGGTTGCCCACTTAGTTGCAACCTCTTAAGAGAACCTAAAGTAGAACAATGCAGTTTAAGCCCCTCCAGAATTCCTGGTCCTTTGAAATGGAAATATGTCGCTGTCTTAAGCCACTAAATTTGGGGTAATTTGTTCTGCAAGAATAAATGATTAACACAAATACATGAGAAAAAGAAAATAAAACCTTATCTTGTACAAGCCACTATCATTTTGTATTTTCTGTCACTTGTACCCAAACTAAGGTCCTTTTTTAGTTAAATTAATTTGTAGAATTAACCTAAAGAAATAACTTTCAAGGTACTATACTGAGGGTTCCCAGAAATTGAGAACAGGCAAAGGCCAAAGAGAACATCCTATCCAACCTCCTTATTTTACAGGTAAAAAGTAAGAGCTACCATTTAGTATTTCTTATGCCCGGCTCTCTGCTTAGTTCTACACATTTCATTGTCAGGATAATCTGTGAGGTAGGGACTCATTCCATTTTACATCTGAAGAGACTGGGTCCATACTCCTACCCATTTTACTTTACAGTCTCTCTACCGTTAAAGAGTACTTTAAAAATGATTCCAAGGATGATAGAACACATACTTAGTGTGGGTTCTGTACCCAGCACCAAATAGAAAACAAATCAATTATAACTATATGTCAGAGTTTTGTTATAATCTTGCACACTGGGGAAAAGATCTAAAGTAGTCCAAAGAATCAACTTGGTAGATATATTTTTGGACAAGTGGATGAAGCTAGTTATAGTTTAACTGGTTACATAAAGAAAATAATGACTGATTAAAGATCACCTGACTCTTGACTGGCTTATCTGGTTAGTTGGTGACTGGTTTCTCAGAATAGGTAAGCACTTATGTTTTTGCATGTGTTGTTCTTTAATAATATTAATTATTTAGCACTCCTTATCATTCATTAGCATCCCACACCAAGTCTGCAGGTGAGAAAACTGAGGCCTCAGAATAGGCAAGTGATTAGCTCACAGGCCCAGGTAAGCAGAGGTGAGACCAGAACTCAGGTCAGTGTTTTATATATTAACTAAGCTGTTCCAAAAAAAAAGACAGTTTTCAGTTATTGAAGAGGAATCCCTGTCTTTCCACCTACATAGCTCTCAGCATTTTAAAATTTTTAGAGAGATGGGCTGGAGGTGTGGTTCAAGTGTTAGAGCACCTGCCTAGAAAGCCCTTGGTTCAAACCCCAGTACCACCAACAACAAAAAATTTTTTTTCAGTGAGTTGTTTTATTTAACTGGGAATATTTTTTTGTACTCTGTTTTGAGATTTTTGTCTTTTTGTTTTCATCAGGGGTAGGAAAGAGGAAACAACTGATATTTCCCTAAATACTTTTTTTTCCTCCTCTCTTTGGACAGGGATTAAGCAATCGCCTGCCAGATTTCATCATTATGATGAATGTAAACCCGACTATTTACAGGAAGCTTATCATTCTTTTTCATTCCAGAAACTTGTGATACTTTCCCTTACTACATGGTGCAAACAGTTCACTGAGTCATCCATAAAGCTAGCTACCTTTCCCTCAGGCAATACACACTACACCCTGCAAGCCAGCCCATAACAGAGCCTTCGATTGTTGGAATGGAAGCCAAAGAGTTGGTGTTGAGTTAGCAATATTTATTATGAACAAGATAGGTAGGGGCTGGCTGGGGATGTTATTCAGTAGTAGAGAGCTTCCTAATATGCACAAGACCCTAGGTTCAGTCTCCAGCTCTGCAATAAACAAATGACACACCATAAAAAAGATAGTGACAGCCCAGATATGTTTAAGAAACAGAAAGCTCTTGTCTCTGGAGTGTTTGTAAAGAAGGATGGAACCATTTATACATTAAATCTCCAGATTTGTAAGGAAGCAAAGTATGGTTTTATCATTATCGAAACTACTTGTCATCAAAAGGTGATCTAAGGAATAAAGTTTATTCCATATTTGGACACTTGAGTTGTTTATGCTGTAATTTACATTCTTTTGGGAGAAGGAATTGGAATTCTGGGTAAAGAGGTGCCCCCAGGTGAGCCTCACCTAATACCCAGTTTAGGAATGACATCTTGCTTCAGGGACCAAAATGAAAACCCTTGAAAGGTAGAAAACAATTGTTCAAAGTCTGGGCTTCAAATATAGCACATTGGGATTATTTTTTTCTGAAAAACCGTTTATGTACACTGAAAAACAAAAATTTTTTTGTAAAGGTTTTAAAATGTCCATTCATTCATGTAGCAAGAAATATATTTTGCCTACTATGTATGCCTGCCACTTGTTCTGGGATATGGATAAAGGCAGATATAAGCACATTACAAAACCAGGTACTTAAAATTGCCAAGAAATGAGATAAAGTCATTAGTAGATTAGTCTTTTATTCATGTCATAGTTCTGATTTTTTTCTTGTGTTAAAAATATTACATAGTGCTCTTTCCAGCCAGTGCAGAGTGATGGGCATCTCTTGGGACAATGGGCACAATTGCTGCAAGATGAGTGCAGGAGAAAGCTCTGCTGTAAGAAGTGGAAGTATGTGCTGGGTTGCCCTGCTCCTGACACTAAGATTGGCTCCCACCCCAGGCACATAGCCCAAGTTCCAGGAGGCAACAAGAAGTACTTCATTCTGGGGCTGGCTGTGGGGAACTTCTATGGTTCTGATCCTCAATAAACAAGGATCATTGATGTCATGTACAGCACATCCAATAATGAAGTGGGGAGCCACCTCTAGGGAAGAAAGCTCCATACATTAGAAAAGTGCACAGCATGTAGTACCCATATTCCAATCCGGTGCTCTATCCTTCATGTCAAGAATACAAGCCATATGCTCCAAATATATTGCCTTAGTCAGCTTTCTGTTACTGTAACAAATACCTGAGATAAGTTATAAAGAGAAAAAGTTTTGTTTGATGGCCACTTTTGGAGGTTTTGGGTCATGATTGGTTAGCCCTGATGCTTTCGGACCTGTGTGAGGCAGCAATCATGGTGGCAGTGGGAGGCAAAACCTCATCTCATGGCTGGGGCATGAAAGAGGAAGAAGAAGGGGCTGGTGTCCCAATATCTCCTTCAAGGGCACACCCTCAATGACTGGAAGACTTCCACTAGGCTCCACCTTTTAAAGATTTCCCCACCTTTCAATAGCATCATAGGAGGGGGACCAAGCTTTTGGGGGACACAGGCAAACTTAAAGATCTGAAAATGGACACTAAGACTCATTGTGGGCACAAAAGAGCCACTAATCAGGAAAATGCCCAAGGTAAGAAGACATGTTCTCAACTTTCTAGCCTTTAAAGAGTTCTGGTAACAACTTTGGCTGGCCATGAAAACCTAGCCAAAGCAAGGGTGTTCTGTGTGTGTCATGCAGGAAATGGCACAGGGACTTGATGGTGGTCTAAGGAATAGAACCCGGGAAGAACTCATTGAAATGGCTACCTAATGACAAGCTGGGGGACTTCTATGTCAGAAGGATTAGATCATATAGCAGGAGATGGAGCCAAAGATCGCTAGGCACAGGTATAGGAAGCATCTTGGTATGTCTGTGAAGGAGGATGGGCCTCCCAGAAACTGTACATAATAACTCTGGTATTACAGATTAGAGGTGGTTAATGTTAATTAAATCAAAAGCTTAAAAAAATCTTAAATGTTTTCCAACTCATAATTTTGGGAAATTTTTTGTTAAAATTTGGCGGGATATGAAGTTCCCCTCCAAATCAGATACAGCTTAGTCACTAAAAAACAGTGGACGGCTACTGTTATCATTTTGATATATGTAAAAAAATATTAAAACTGCTCATTTATAAGAAAGGTATATAACTGCTTTCTATTTCAGAATCACAGCTTGCAAGTTTCTGTTATAATTCTAGAAATATTTTCTCCATAAATGAGAGCATATTTAACAATGTTCTTTCTGCTTTTTTTTTTTTTTTACTTGAGAGTGAATCTTGGCTTCATTTCACATCAGCAAATAGAGATCAAGCTTATGCTTTTTATAGAGGCATATTTTTCAATCAAATGGATGTGCCATAATTTATCTAATACCCAGTATCTTACTGATGGACATTTATTGTTCCATTTTTATCAGTGTGAGAAAAATTGTATTGTGTCTTTGGAACAAGTCTTTCTTTCTGTATTGCTATGCCTGATTTGTATCTCCTCAAAATTCTTACCTTTAAGCCCTAGCCACTGATACCTGGAATGTGACTGTATTTGGAGATTTGGCCTTTAAAGAGGTGGTTAAGTTAAAAGTGAGGTAGTTGGAGGGACAATCCAATATGACTGATATCCTTATAAGAATAGGATCAGACATATACACACAGAGAGAAGGAGGCCATCTGCAAGCTGCGGAGAGAGGCCTCAGAAGAAAACAAACCAGTTAACACCTTGTTCTTGGACTTCTTGGACTTCAGACAGTGAGAAAATAAATTTCTGATGTCTCCGTTAAAGTCACCCAGTATGTGGTATTTTGTTATGGCAGTCATAATAAATAAATAAACATGGCAAAGAGCAACATGTCTATAATTATATAGTAAAAATCAATGGGGGAAATAAATTCAGTTTAATTGAAACAAAATTGTGCAAGGATTTGGGGGAAACTATAGACAAAGATATATATATATATATATATATATATACACACATACACACACATATGTACATATATTTTATTGACTAAGGTCCTTTTGTATATGAAGTATGGTAAAGGAAAATTGAAAAAAAAACATAGCACTTGGCATTGCATTTTGACTCACTAGCTATCTTTTAATACCATTATTCATACTCAAACCTTACTCTTTAATCAACATAACTTGCTGCAGCAGTTGATGATTGGCTATTTTGACAGGACAGTGAGGATGAACTCTGGTACTGAGAAAGGACTATAATTCCAAATGTTTTATAATTGCAACATTCTTTCATTGCTTAGGTTTATAACCAACCCTGTACTGGGAAGTGCTGTCACTTACTGGAATTAGAGTTAAATGTCTTAGGATTGATTGCTCTTACTAAAAATTGTTCTCTCCCAGAACCCTCAAAACTAAAGTTGGAAAATTCTACAGAAAAGGCCTTGTGTCATTATATTTTTAGTTTGCCAGGTAATGATTTAACTTTTTCTTTTTTTAAGCTTTTTCAGAGAGATTGACTGGCAGCAGTGGTGAAGAGAGAGACCTACCAATCTTACAAGGCACTCTACCATGTGGATTTTCCACTGCGCTGCTCACAGCTTATCCAGTTTCCTTGTTGTGGTCAATGGCCAGATGGCCTGTTAGAATTTGTCTTGCGTCATATCTGAAGAAATCATATAGAGAGGTAACTAAATGGACAGCCTTCGCCCTGGTAGAATTTCCTATCTGCTCTAGTAGTAGGCATCACAGTGACACCAACCAATGTCTGTGTCTCAGTTAAACTTCAATATAATCATATTTTCTGTGTATCAGATGATTAATTGCTACATTACTCAGCAGATGGACATATGTTAACAGCTTCATTCAAAAGGAGAAATGACCTACAGGCCTTTTTAAAAAATCACTTTCTTTCATTTTGGCATCTTAAGCAAATTTCTTGAAACAGCCAGAGTCCAAAGTAGCTGTTACTACTCTTTGACCTACTACACAGCTTCAGAAAGGGGTTACAGTGAAACTGTGTGTGGATAGATATTTTTGTTGTTAAACACCTTCTGAATGTGCCTGGTTCCAAGGATAAGCTAGTGAACACCACAGATGCAGATAGGTGAATGGGAAGCACAACATTCGGTGTATTAAAAGTCAGTTAAAAAGAAGAAATTACAAGAATGCCATGAAGTTCCTTTATTCCTTCTTTCTTTATTCCACAAATATTTGAGGGTGTCTTTTGAGGGATATTAAAGTACAGAGACAAAGCCCTAGTGAAAGAGCAAAGGAAAATACAGGGAAAAAAACAGCATGAGAGGGTAACAGGGAGAGGGAGAGAGTAATCTGTCAAGGACTTTGTCTCTTTTTCTGTTCCATAAGCATTTGTTTCTTTAGGATAAACTATATAAAGCCATCTCTGTATCTCAACTTACATAGTAACTGGGAGAGTACTGTCAGACCCAGATTTATATGACCATATTATTCACTTCTTAATTTGTGAGCCCAGCAAGTACCAGAATGTTGATAGTTTGTGTTTTGTCTAATATTAATACTTTACAGACAGTATTTACTTTGTGCCACATAAACCTATAAGCACTTAAAATTCGCTTAATCCTCACAAAAATTCCATGAAGCAGGTATTTTTAATCCCTATTTTATATAAAAGGATACCAAGGCACAGAGAAGTCATGAAATTTGCCCAACGTCCTACAACTAGTCCTTGTTGAAACCAGGAACCGAACTTCCATTTCTAGAGTCTGTGTTGCCTACTGCTCACAATGTCTGTCAATAAATGACACATGGTAAAATTAGAACTAAGCAGATACTGCAGTGCAAGTCTCTTTCTCTTTCTGCTCCATCATTCCTATTCGTGGAACCCCCTGTTGTCATGAAATCGTGGTAGATAACGAGGGGCTACAAGGGTAAACACAGCCTATCTGGTTTTTGCCCTCTTGGAGCTCATGGCAATTAAATAACATACCCTTCCCAAGGCCCTCAACCTTGCCTATTTCTTCTGTTTCCCTCCCTGAATCATCAAGGGTTGATGATGGGTTGAGTGGAGAAGGAGTCTCCTGGAAAGCTGGGGCGCGGACAGATGACCTATGGGGATGAGGCAGCTTGACCTTTCTTTGGGCAGTGATTTAAGTCTCTTCCTTTCTCTGTGAGCCTCGGCTTAAAATGGCGGGACTTGTACCAAGGCCGTTTTCCTGCCCTCCCCCACCCCGGGCCCATCCGGCTAATCCACGATCCTGCGGTCTGTCCTGCACTTCAGGACCCTCGGGTCACTGGCCGGACAATGTCCTCGTCCCTGGGCTTCTGCAGCCCAAGCGGCCCTTCCTCCCGACCCCCATGTTGCCGCGGGCCCAGTCACGCGCGTTTCCCGTGTGGACCACACGTTCTTGGGAGCGTCTAAGCCCTGATCACTCAGCCCCTAGGCGGGAGCCAGGCGAGGCCCTGACCAACATGGCCAGGGGTGTATGTTGGGGGGGGGGCCGACCCTCGAAGACCTCAGTATGGCGAATGGCGGCTCGAGGGGGTTGGGTTGCGAGCGCGCGCGCGCGCTGCCCACCCAGGCCAAGGGGTCACTTGGCCAGGCGCCCAAGCCCGAACCCCGACCTTTGCGTCTGCTGTCTCGGCCTCATGGGGCTGGTGGGCGGCGCGGCAAGGCCGAGAACGCCCCCAGAACGTTTTTAGGAGGCGAAACAACAGGGAGACTCGGTTTCTTGCCGCGCACACTAAGACAAGGAATTCGGAGAGCGGAGGCGGGAGGTGGAAGACGCCGGGAGCCTGCCCGCGCGCCGGTCACGTGCGCCGCAGGCACCGCATGGCGTCGGCCCGCGCGCGCCCGCGTCTCGGCCGGCCCGGCAGCTCGGGCGCGCGCGCCGACGGGGCGGGCGCATGCGCAGGGGGGCGCGCCGCCTCTGCCCCGCGGCGAGGGTGTCTATGGAGAGGCGGCGGCCGCGGCTGCTGAGGCGGAGGCTGAGGCAGTGGCGATGGCGCCCTTCCCTGAAGAAGTGGACGTCTTCACCGCCCCACACTGGCGGATGAAGCAGTTGGTGGGGCGATACTGCGACAAGGTAATAACAGAGCGAAGGGCCTCCAGCTCGGGGCGGCGTGGAGGAACGGGCGGGTCCCCGGGGCGGCCTGGCCTGCGCGGTGACCGCAGCCCCCAGGGCCGCCTCCCTCCGCGCCAACAGCCGCCTGCGCAGTGTCAGCGTCGCGCGGCTCCCTGCCGCTGCCCAGCCCGCCCGGGTCCTCGGGGAGCTCGCGGTCCCGCCCGCCGCGGCCTCGGACGTGCCCTCGGGGCGCGCGGCGCGATCCCCGCGCGTCCGGCCGCGTCCTCGTCCTCCCTCCCCCTTCCGAGGGCCCGGCCCTGCGCACCGGGGAGGGGCGCGCCCGGGGCCTCCGCGGCTGCCCCTTGGGTGCGGAGCCTGCGAGCCCTGGGAGACCCTAGGGGACCCCCTCCCCTCCCCTCCGCTCCGCTCCCCTCTCCTCCGCTCCCCTCCCCTCCGCTCCGCTCCCCTCCCTCCCCTCCCCTCCCCTCCCCTCCCCGTGGTACATTTCCCACCCGCGCCCGCAGGCCGCTTCTGCAGTTTCCTCGTCCGCATTGCCATCCCCCCAACTCCGGCCGCGCGCATCCATCCTCCTGAACCTCGGCTTGCTTCCTTCCTGGCTCTGTGGACGCCTTCTCCCAGCTACCCCTGCTTGTTTTATCCCCTGGTTTTTCTCTGGTTTAATTTGGGAGGGAAAACAACAACAAAACAAAAAACAGAAACAGGGTTAGAAACTAGTAGAGGACCATCAGCCTTCATTTATGGTGTTTTTTTTTTTCCCCCCCCTTGCAACTTTTATTGACCCGGATATTTTATTTTTACTCGATGGAGATTTTGTTTTAAGACAGCTATTCGTCTGTTGGAATTCCTTACTTGGGCTCAAATACAAGGGGCCTCGGGAAAAGTTGGTTTGACTGTGGTGGAACCTTTGTGGATTCTTGGGTGCAGCATAAGCTGAGAATCGATTTTGTGGAGGCAGCTTACGGCTTTGTGCTAAGGATATGAAAACAATATTACAATTGCCCGTATTTGTCAGTTTATTTTGGGAAAGTCATATGGGTACCCTTAAAACTAAGGGCAGTCCTGTTTCTTACAAGAGTGAGCCACATAGCATTTAAACGAAATAAACTTAAAAATTTTCAGACAGTACATAGTATTGAGCAGCATCACTGAACAGCAAAGAGGGGGTGCATTGTAGTCCAGAGAGGCGGATGGAGGATGACCAGTTTTTTCATGGCCAAGCCACCCACAGCACCACCAATTTGAAGTTTCAGATCTTAGCATCCCTGCCCCACAACCATCTTCTCCCTCCATTTTGAAAATTAAAACAAAGCAAAACACACTCCAAATCAGGTTTTAAATACCAGGACTGTTAACATTGTCATTCTCAGATTGGTTACTTATTAGGATTAGTTGAAAGCTGTTAAAAAATCCTGATGTCCAAACCCCGCAACTAAAATTAGGATCTCTGAGGATGGAACCTAGACATCAAGTATAATTTAAAGCTCTCCAGGTGTGCAGCCAAGGGTGAGAACCATTTTTCCGGGAGAAGCATAAGGCATGGCTAAGCTGGTGATCAAAAGTGTGTAAATCTGTATTTTTCAGTTGTCAGCATTGCAGTGTGTTTTTCTTCACTGCCTTTGAAACAGTATCCTTTGATTTCTGGAAAGAAAAAATAAGGTGGGTTTTCACTTTCTCAGAAATCAAAAAGGGGGTGATGAGGGCTAATGGAATCCAAGGTTTTTTCCTCCAGTTTATATTGGGAAAAGGTAGTCCAGAGATTCTTGGGTATTACAGAGAAAATTGCCATTTTCCTAGGAGATTTCTAGGATTTCCTGGGAAGTTTCAGATTTTATGCCTTCCTAAAATAGTCATAATTTTATTTAGTTGTATGCTATGCTAGACTGTCTAGCCTTATTTAAAAAATTTGAAGAAGTCAGTCATTATTTTTGTGTTTCTTTTTCTGGTGATTGAGAATACTTAAATTTTGAAAGTGCAGTTGCCTTTTTTTTAAATCTGAGTCAAGATCTTTTTTTTTTTTTTTTTAATGGAATTGGGATTTGAACTCAGGGCTTTGCACCTGCAAAGCAGGCACTCACAAAGCAGGTGCTCTATGGCTTGAGCCACACCTCCAGTCCATTTTGCTCTGGTTGTTTTGGAGATTGGAGGTGGGGGGGGGGTTGTCTCTCAAGCTAGTTGGGGCTGGCCTATCTCAGCCTCCCAAGTAGCTAGGATTACAGGCAGGAGCCACCAGTGCCCAGCTAAATAAGATTCTTTTCAGTATTTAAACGTTCCCTCTTGCATAACTAGTTTAATAAGCATTTTCAATTTGACATTGCATAATTCAGAATTAACGCTAATTTATCTCAGCACTGCAAAATTTATCACTAATTCTGGATTACATATAGTTAATGAGATTACATATGTGTACATCAAGATGAAAAGTCCAATTTTTGTGACCAAGGTGATTTAGCAAAGGAAAAAACTGCATAGGAATTTTATGCCATCATTTCTTCTTGATACCGAGAGCCACTGGAAGTCTCTTAGGATGTCCTTTGTGTGCAGGAATAGGAAAATAAGTATTTTGTGATGACCAAATGATCTTAAAGGAGTTAGTTTCTTTCTTTCTTTTTTTTTTAAAATGTCT